CCCCCACCCACCATTACTCTATCTCTTATATTGCCTTGAGCAAAGAAAGGGTGCAGGACTTCCTTCTTCTTCTTCTTCTTCTTCGATAAGGACTCTATATGTCTCTCTCTCTTTCTCTTCAGGACTCTGATGGCATCCGAGAGATGTGCGAGAAGCGAAGTTAACGAGAGATGAAGAAATTGGAATGAGACTGGGAATGAGAAGGATAACGCTTCTTGATGATGATGATGATGATGAGAGGAACAAAGATAGCAACTGTTCTGGTATGTATCGTTGTCGCTATTCTTTGGCGAGACTGTAGAGTATTCGAGTGGGGAGCGAAGGGGGGTCAACTATGCAGAACTCACATTTGTCTAGGTGGTTGGCTCTTTGTTCGCTACGAGGTTAGAAATGCGGTCTTGTTAGCGCAGGTCGACGTCGAGCGTCGCTCCGAGGGCGGGACGCTTCGCGGTAGATCAAAAGCACTGGAGATCGCGTCCCGCGACAAACGACGTTCTTGGGCTTTTGTGCAATTTCGTACCTCGTTTTCGCTTTCGTACTCGCTTCTTTTATCTGCTTTGTCTCTTAACGTCTTCTCTCGCATCGCCGCGCGACTGCCATGTAATGCGAACGTGAATCTTGGCGTGAAAGTCAATGTCAACGTCTGACAAAGGGATTGCGAGGAAATTGACAAAAGCATCGCTGCTGCCATCTACGCAGGACTTCGATGCACTGGCAGACTTTCCGCTGACGTTCGTTGAGTTTTTTTTGCTCTTTTTTAAAACTAATTTTAGTATCAGTTATGATTCCGAGTTAATTTTTCTTTTTTCTTACTGGTTCGCTGTACAGTCGCGACTGCAAATACTGTTGTCAGGCTGACTGCCGAGGACACCGATGCCTCGGGACTCAGGGTCTTTTAATTGGCTCTTGTGAAACAGGGTCGTTTCATTGTGACTGTCACTTTGAAGTTGTATCAGAGTGCTGCGGAATGGGTGGTAGGAGGTAAAGTCGTGGTGGGTAAGGATATAAACAGGCATCGAGACGTTATGAACGCCGGCAGGTCGACTAAGGTTGGATAAGAGACGGCAGTCGGTAAAGAAATTAATTGTCGGTAAAGAAATTCGTGAAACTTCTACGAACGTCATCGCTCTACATATAGACTGCAGAGGTTTGAAAAAAAGGTACGTCAGTGTATCTGGCTGTTGAATTACAGGAATAATGCAGCGCAAGTGGACGTCAAAGGATAAAGAGAAATAGACTGTTTATATGCGTTATAAATTCGTCCTAAAGATCAAGACTAAGATTGGGGTTGACATTTGTCCGGTATAGGTATTGATGATAATAGTGAGACTATTTATTGGCGAACCGATCAGAAGCCTTTCGTCTGGCGTCATACAGTCATCCAACGTAAGTACGGTCACCCGTCACGCGACACGACCATTAATTTTCGATCACATAATCTCATTTGCTTAGCGATTAGGCGAATTCCTCTTTGAAGAAAATTACCGGGGCATAAATTCTGAGCCCAATTACCAAATTCATGAATACTCGTACGCGCATACGACATAACCTCTTTGGCTAGGCTATTTTACGCTGACCTTAATCTAGAAAATGGCCGACGATGTGATTGCGTTCTCTACGTGGATTCACTGATACTCTCGTAAATCGCTGTTCGAGCAATACCTATAGTTCTTCGTTAGATAGTTTCCTATTAATTTCTCACCCTATCTGATCCCCTTTAGACCGTTCGTAATTATATTGAACCAGCAATAAAATTACACGTGTCATTCTTTTTCCTTATACCTCCTGTCCCGCGTATCGCGTGAATTCGCACGGTGTAAAATGCGATTGTCAAAGATGGTGTGCCTTTGAATTTCGATTGATTAAAAAAAATTATCTTCTTACCTGTTTGCCGTGAATTAAAGGCCCCGCTGCTCGTAGCAATCATCAGAAGCAGCATTGGGACCAATATGGCTCTTAGGGCAGGTGGCATTTTTTCGGTTCTCCAAGCGCGCCTGCGCGATCACAGTCTTATCCCACTCCCCTCATCACAGCCTGCCTAAAAAAAAAAACAGATAACAGTACTTTACACGAAGGATCGAAAATTTCGCCTAAACATCTAAACCCTGACACGGATACATTAGCCAAAGTGTGCTCATACAGGAAACAGGAAAAGTCACCTGATCCTAAACATTTTGTAACAATATCAACAGGTACTTCGTAACTGAATGAGTATCCCGTGAAATTTTGGTTAGTCAAATATGCGAATAAGACGGTCAAGAGGTCACAGAACCTAGAATTAGGCCCTCTGAGACACTAAGTAAGCGGTCTAAGCGACAGATCCTCAGGTAACGTACTCGTATGACAGTAGTCCCCCGTAAAGGTATGTAACTTGAGAAAATGCTTTTCTGTCTTTCGGTCGGTAAAGAAGATCCACTGTTGAATTACCACAGATACCTGACGCGGTCCGCACTGTATTTATTTTTATAAGATGAGTGACGGGCGTAGCTGTGGGAGGGGTTGCAGGAAATACGCGTCGCGACGCCGCAGCGTCACGCGGATGCCCAAGGGCTTTTCATTCTCATACCGTAGCCATTGCTCTTCTCGTCGTTCCCACTGTTCAAGCTATTCCAGGGGTGTACTCGGGGGATGTATGGTAGATGGTTCAGGGGGGTGCCAGGGACCAGAGAGCTGAAGAGTTGGGGGGTCACTGGGGGGACTCTTCGAGGTAGATCCCTAGCGCGTTGGGTTTCCATTATGCTAAACCGCAAATGGAGTCCTGCGATCGAGTGTCTACCCTGAAGCTCAACACAATGGCTATGCTGCTAAGGTGTAATGTTACCCAGAAATTAAATTCGGCCGTCCGCCACGGCCTGACGTTGCACAAATGAGATTCGGCGTCGTCCGGACTCACGATCAGCCTCTGGCGTCTGCGTCGCGTCCCTTTACAGCACGAGGCCAGTCCAGGGACCCTTTCGGCCATAGTGCAGACCCGGTAAGCCATTTGCAAATGTCTGCTGATGTCCAAAATTTTTCATCTAATTCTTGAATATCCATCAACTTAAGGGAATAATGGGTCATGAGGATTTTCATACGTGCCTTGACAAATACGATTATTTTTACGACGTTAATATTTGCTTTTTTCAAAAAATTTAAGAGAAATCAAGCAGACTCGACGGATGGGAAAAAATTTTAAAAATTTTCTTATTTTTAAAAAAAAGTGGAAAAAAAGATGGCGCATAGCGGATAACACTAAAAAAAATCGGCGGACGCAGCGAGAAACTTACTTGAAACTTTAATGGACAATCCGGACGCTGGGGGACAATCACGCGGCTGAACTTCCGGTGGAAAATACGCCGAATAAGTTCAGACCGAGTTTGGTACTCGCTCGGCTTCAATTTCGAATCCACGCCGCCCCTTCAACCTAATGGATCATTCGTGTGCCGGAACTTCCTGGGAAAATAGCCCTGCTCCCGGCTCTGAAATTTAATCCTCGGCGTCTCGCGGTATGGGAAACTGAAGGAACACCGAGTTTATAGAAAGGTAACCAAAAAAAAAAAAAAAAATTCTAACGCCTCTTCTCAGGACGTCCGTATGACGATCGAGAACGCAATCTTTTCTCGGTTTTAAAATTTTACTGAATATTAAAATCGACGAGGTCACTTGCTTAGAATTAGGTTAGGTTCGGGCGATATTAAAATTTTTTAATTTTCTTCTATTGACTACGTGCTAAATTGCCTCTACGTATTAAAAGAAAAAAAAAATTCGCTACTTCCGGCCGAACCAATTTCCTCGTTAGAGTAATTTACGACTACGTCAGCTTTTCGTGAAAGATTTCAAGTATGCACTTTATGCCTTGTTCACAAGCATAACGGAAGCGGCGCACTACGTTTCTATTAAACTACTGACAGTCGTAGTCGCTCGCGATGTAAGACAGGCTAACGTAAGTTACAATTAGTTTCTCGGATAGTTCGCAGCTTTGTGCTTGGCGGTTCTCGGCCATTTTAGAACTGGATATCAAGTTGTAGTACTTCCTTCCGGTTTTAACCATAGAAACTCAGCCATCTGCTGTTTCCAGTGCCCATTCAGAATTCAGGTACATATAAACCATCTCCACCTAAGGTGTCCACCAGTTTCTGGTATCCCGCTATACAAACGAAATCACTATATATATATATATATATATATATATATATATATATATATATATATATATATATATATATATATATATATATATATATATATATATATATATATATATATATATATATATATATATATATATATATATATATATATGCACGCACATATTATAACCAATGCATTGATTAATATTCAAACCGTGGTAACAAGGCATCACTGTCTTGAATAACCTTCCCTATCACGCAATAATAATACATAGGCATCCCGACGCCTAATTATTCCGCACCCCTTAAGCCACTTGACCAATCGCCCGAGGGTATACAAACAGTGATAAATTCAAACTAGAGCCATTCTCCCAGTTGCGTTAGCTACAGGACAAATTGAAGCAAAGAAACGAGCAAACGTCCCGCTAAATCGAAATTCTAATAAATGACTATTTTCAAATCTCCAATATTTCGGTCCCAACTCATCTTATATGCACGATTGGATATACACACACAGAGCTCTACCAATTGTGAAGCACGAAACTCCGTCCTTCCAGGTATAAAATTCAAGTATTCAGATCCGTTATGACTGTAGTTCAAAAAACAGCCACGTATTCGCATCCAGTGGCGCTACGAGCGCGTCAGCGACACCCGAGAAGAACATGCCCTTCGCGTTCCTACGATATCCCAAAGCGAAGTAGTTTAACGAAAAATATAGCAATTGCTGAGTCGAGGATGACCTGTGAATTACGTAATATTACAGTACCGAAATGTGGTTGGATCGAGGTCGTAAGGTAATTGAGAAGCGACTATAATGTTGGGTAAATCAGATCTCTGCTGTAATGCACTATATGAATTATACAAGTCTCTTATATACCTATAGTCATGACAACACGACACGGTTGCAGGTAAACTAACGACAATGCGGCATACAGGCTAGTCGACTGGTTCAGGTCAAGACAGATAAGTCGAAAGCTGCAGCCAATTATAATGTAAGAAACGTGAAGTTAGTTTACAATGGAGGTTAGGTAAGCCGAAGTATTGGTTAATTGAAGTACAGGTTAGTCTAAAACTTATCGAAGTCATAACAGTTGCGCGACTGTCGTGCTTTTCGGTTGTAACTATAGACGCAATTGGGTATAGTCTCGGGTACTATGCAGTTGGCAACACCCTACGGTACACATACAGACACAGTCGTACGGTGTAGTTTGGACTATAGACAAAGCTAAGACGTCAAGGGGGGTAAAACATGGGGAGTTCGGACCAAGGGGATGCGAAGTCGTGCTAAGCAACTTAGATTAGTTGAATCGACTAGACTGGAATTGGCAAACCGCCAGTTTAAATTCTCAAGAGAATTCTTATTCCTAATTTTTTTTCCTCCCTCCGCTCTCATTCTTTTCTCCTTATACTTTGGTACCTTATACCTCGTTTCCTCTCTCTCTCTCTCTCTCTCTCTCTCTCTCTCTCTCTCTCTCTCTCTCTCTCTCTCGTTCTCTTCTTCCAGCTCCCCGGGTGTCCTTATACGTAAAAGACTCCACAGAAACCCTTCATCGCATGCCGGATCCGGAATGCAATTTCAAGCACTTGTGCGTCCCACGCAAAACTGCACCACAGAGCAGAAAGTGCAGGACCAAACGGCATCTCGTGATTTCTGAATTCATCTCGTTTCCCCAGTTTACCTCTATTGGCAGCATCGATCCCCCGAAGGAAGCTGCATCCGTGCCGTTAACAAGATGCACCCGAGAGGAATTCTAAAATGTCCTGTTAAGGAGTATCTCCAATTTTGTCTGTGAAGTACCTAATGGGGGGGGGGGG